ACCAATGCGATTGTTGTGTATGTAGGGAGATAGACAAATTTTTGATGTTTTTCCAGAATCCCTTATTTTTAAAAGAATAAGCTATTTTGCATTGCCCAAGGTCCTTTCTTTTTTTGAAGAAAAAATTATGAATACTATAAAGAAGTTTTCATTTCCCATATTTGCTGATCCTTACACCCAGATTTAGACATGGATTATTACTTTAATGATAATGCAAGGAAAAAGAACAAGGAAAAGAGGGACTCATCTAACATTATCCACTGTGTACCACTTTCTTTCCTTCATCTTTTCATTTAACTCTTACATTAATACATAAAACAGCATTATCAATATTGAGAACAGTATCACTAAGCAATCTGCCAAAAGTCACTTGCTAATAAATCATAAAGTTAAAATTTAAATCCAAGTTTCTTTGAGCCCAAAGTCCGTATTTTTTCTATTACAATCTGCTGTGTATTTCTTAGTCATAAAGAAAATGTGTTCTTTGCAATGAAAATTAAGTTTATTCTTATTTTAGTTGTTCCTTTTTTGATTATGTTAGTCACTATTTGGTCTTTACCCAGCAAGTACATTTATTAAATTAAAGAAGCAGGTGGAGCAAGATATGGATAAAGAGCTTCCATTCATAGATGGGTAACACTCACACTTGCAGGTTAGACAACACTGAGCTCAATGGGCTAATTCCAGAACTGTTGGCTTCTGTTAACTCTAGACACACACCAGCAAGTGCCATTGATTTCAATTCTTCAGGGAAATGAATTTTAATAGAATAATCTAGAACAAACTTAAATTGGAGAGAAGTTCTTATTTAGGAGTTTCTTCTGACTTTTTGTGGAAAAGAAATATTTCTGAAAAGTCTAGGTTAATTAATATGGTCGAATTTGAATAATCAACTGAAAAATATTCCTTATTTAAAGGTAACTTATTGTGACTTATTCTTTGAAATAAAGAACTTAGCCAGGCATGGAGACACATGCCTGTATCCTAGCAACTCGAGAGGCTGAGGCAGGAGAATGGTAAGTTAGAGGCCAGTCTCAGCAACTTAGTGAGGAAAGATGCTGTCTGAAAATAAAAAAATGAAAAGGACCAAGAATGTGGCTCAGTGGTAAAGCACCTCTGGTTTTAAATAAATAAAATCAAGCACTTATTCCATAATTTAATCTTTTAACTATGAAGTAGTTTAATTCATATTTTATAGTAAAGTATGACTCCTATGTACTGTTTTACCATATAACTATATGTGTAATTACACTTTAAATTATGTTCCCTCCTTTTTTTTTCTTTTTGGCAAATTCTCAAATATCCATGGTCCCTAGAAGTTAATAAAGTACACTTGTTAGTTATGTTTACACACAACTACTCCATTCTTTTAGTTGTCACTTGGAAATTTCAAATGGTAAATAGTAAGCTGTAAATTAATGAACAAACTATGTTACAGGAAAAATGAAACTTCTTTAGGTAATTTGTATAATTCCTTTAGGCTATCTTAGACTTTCTACATGACTCCTTTTATATCTGTGCTTTCCTATACAATAGTTACTAGGCACTTGTGGCTATGTAAATTTAAGTTAGATGAAATTAAATAAACTTAAAAATTAATTCTTCAGTCACACTAGCTATAACTTCAAATACTCAGTAGCCACTTTTGACTTCTATATCAGACAACCATATTACACAGCATGAATATAGTACATGCCCATCATTACAGAAAATACCATTGTACAGAGTTGTTCTATGATGCAGAATATACACCAAAATAATTCACCTCTTTGTCTTTAGTCTTTTTCTCTTCAGTATTCCCAAAGATTGTAACAATGATTACCACAGAGTGGTCAACAAATATTTGTTGAATGTTAAATGAATGAATAAGTAACTAGAAAACAAGAAGTATCAAGTTTCAATTCTAGAATACTCATTGAAATTCAAGGTTAAAAACTAGGTTAAGGGGCTGGAGCTGGAGCTAAGTGATAGAGCACTTGCCTTGCAGGTGTGAGACCCTGGGTTAGATCCTCCGCACCACATAAAACAAGTAAATAAATAAAGATATTGTGCCCATCTATACAACTAAAAACAAATTTAAAATACTAGGTTAAGATCCAGAGAGGTTTTGTTTTTGCAGTGCTGGAAATCAAACCCAGAGCCTTGCACATGGTAGGCAAGCCCTCTGCCATTGAACTACCTCTCCATCTTTGAGAGGGAGGTTTTATTTAGAAAATACTGTATACTTACATACAGTTCAGGAAATAGGAACTTGGACAAAAATCATTTTTTTATGTTTGCATCCAATCTTGATGGGCAATAGATGATCATATTTAAAAGTTGATTCATTTCTGTTTCCCCAGAGATTACTATTATGTGCTAAGGTTAACTTCATTCATGTTCATGCTTTTATACCCTTAACAGGCACATATTATTGACAACATGTAGTACCAGTCAATATGTTTGTAAAACAAATATTGATGATTACTGAGCAATAATTTTTACATTTTTCCTATAACTTACTATTTTACCTAAATATTCTATTCCATATATTTTATTTTTTGTACATTTAGCATTTAACAATTGCTTTAAAGCACACAAGTTTATGATTATTTCACAATCACATAAAATATCCAAGTGTGTGTATGTATGGGTGTGCATTTTTTTCCCCTAGTACTCAATCCTCTACTATTTTTATAAATGATTCAAAAGTCACATTCAATATCTCTTCTCTTCCTCTAGATTTGGGCAACATGCAATTTTTCTGTCTCTAATATCTTCTTTGGCACTTCCCATCTTTAAAAATTACCATCATTAAAATGAACAGAGAGGGGCTGGAGTTATGGTTCAGTGGTATAGCGCTTGCCTAGCATGTGTGAGGCACTGGGTTCAATTCTCAGCATATAAAATAAAATAAAGGTCCACTGACAACTAAAAAATATTGTTAAAAAGATTAACAGAGAAAATCCAAAATCATCTTCAGGTATTATTGTACACGCCAGAAATATCTTCAAAAAACCATAGGGACCTGAAAAAAATTGAATTAAAGGAGGAAAATGAAGCTCAAACTCTTCCATTTCTATTTTTAATAGAAGTTTTAAAAGCAGGACACTATCACAATCTGTTTTGAAGGGGAAAAGAGAGTATTTTTCACAAGCAGAAACCCTATGAAAAAGGATATCATTTATAACATCCTAGAAATTTAGACAGCCTTCAAATTTCCATAACGGTTATTTGTCCTTGATCTAAATTATTTTTTAAGGATGATAAACAAAACGTGTGTGTTTTCCATATTAATTGTGGAATTTAACAGGTGTGCTGGGATTGCTAATGCTGACTGTAGTTGCAGCAGTGCGGACAGCAGGTGGCAGCAGCTCCCGCTCCAACAAGTGGAATCAGAGCAGGTCAGGGCACCCTTGGGGCCTCCCTTGCCACAGCCCTTCCTATCATAGCTCCTTTCCTATGTGGAAAGAAAGGTGATATCCCGCACAAATCCCACAAACTTTGGCAAAAAACACAAGGTTATTTTGTGTCCCATTTACATAAAGAATGAATAACAAAATTAGGAAAGGTAGATTTTAATCTTTGGAATTTCTCTTTTTTTTTAAATTTTAAAGCCCCAGTACCTTCATTTTTAAAGTATGCTTCCCGTGCCCATCTCTTCTACCTTAATGTATTATTCTAGGTATTATCCAAGTTTTTCCTTTCTAGGGAAGTTGGCCATACTTTTATATTTTTTGCTGCATTAAAAAAAAAAAAAAGACAGGGTCTCCCTAAGTTACCCAGGCTAGCCTCCAACTTGCCATCCTCTTACCTCAGCCTCTCAAGTCTCTAGAATTATAGGTGTCTGCCATCATGCCCTTTTTGGGCTACCTTTTCTTAAATAACTATAGATGATAATAAAGGTATTAATAAAAATGATGATAAAAATGACCACTTATTAAACATGTGCTATGTTGTAGTCTCTCTTTCGGAAGTTTTACACATTTTCTCTAATCTGCACAATAATTCAATGATTTAGGTCTACTGTTATCCCCATTTTATAGATATAGAAATCAAAGCACAGGAAGATCAAGTAACTAGCCTGAGTTCACATAGATAATAAATAGAAGAAGTCAGACAAACACAGAGACTATCTGTTTGATCTTAGAGCCTGTGCTGTTCATCATTGCTGACTGGGCACAAGAGGATTCTAATCAGGGAGGCAAACTCCTGCTCATACTGAATATTTTAATTCTGCTAGGATACAGGTTGCTTCAAGCTCCTTAAAGTGTATATATTTCCAAAACTCCTTTTGAGGAATATAACCACAGGTGGAAACTTGAGGTCACTGGAAGAAAGTTCAGCATGGAAGAGACATTTGATGAGGATAAAGTTTACCAAGAAGATGAACCCCAACTTCCTCACTTATTATCTGTGGGAGCTTAGCAAATTATGTCACCACCCAGGCATTGACTTTCCTCGTTTGTTAAATGATGAGAGTAATACTCAATGTTGTTGTAAAAGTTAAATGAGATGACACAGTTGAGTTCCCAGGATACACTCAGTACATTCTTAGTTACTATTAGTTCATGTGCATCACCCTCAACCGTAATGCTAAATATACCTTGGGTAGATGGAGCCTGAAAAAGTAAGGAGGGGAATATCAAGGGCAGCAATTGGGCATTATTAATTTTATATATCTCCCTCAATGAGAGTCTCAACGATGAGTACATAATAAAGGCTTGTTGTTAAATTGATGAGCAAACAAATCCATAAAATTACATAGCCAGTGGCTATTTTACATATATAAAAATAGAATCTGCACAAGTATTACAAATGCATTTTAAAGGACTGGGGTTGAGATTGTATTGATGATCCCAGGAAATTTATTTATGACTAAATAAGATTCATGGGGGCCCCTTTTTATTTGGGGCTTATAGGCCCCCAATTTTTTATTTGTGGCACCATTTCTTGCTCTCTGATATATCCATGTTTACATTTTTAAAGATAATTTATCAAATTAACTGGTTCTCTTCTAGACCCAAAATGGAAGATGCCTGGGTATTTGCAAAGCCCAATGCCATTCAGGCTGTTGGGGTCATGTCTTTTGGTGAGTACATGGCTTCAAAAGGCCCTTTCCCAATAATGAGTCATCTATTCACTGAAAAAGATCTATTTAATAAAAATACCTGGACGTTTGGTATCCTAAGTTTTAAACTTCCTATTAGCAGTGTATGATCTAATTTATGCTCAAACTTTTCTCACTCATCACTAAGATTTGCTTCAATTTGGAAAAATCCATTTCTCATGCAGAAACCCTTATAGTTATCTTGTTTCTTAATTTGAAATTCTAGCAAGTATTATGGACTTCTTCAAAACTTGCACACAATGTACTAAGAATTGGCTGGATATCTAAAGCAACTCTGTGTCCCAGATGGCAGAGGAAGTCATGCATTGATAATTATGGTGTTGTTTAGATTTTCCTTTAGATGGGAAGGGTCATTAGGAGAAGGAAAGTGGGAGAGAAGTTTGGATAGTCTGGTTTATATCAAGACAAGATACAACATAAGTCTGATATGAATGAAGTTTCTCATTTCTAGACTCATTAGAAAAATTATTTTCTTGTATATTTAGTAAAATAATATTTTGAACATCAGTTGATTGACATTCTAAAGTAGCATTCATCTCTAAATTACAGAATAAATGAAAAAAACAAACCTGGGCTTACTTCAATAATGCTTGCTTCCTTTTTTCTTTTTTTGTGTTACAGCATTTATTTGCCACCATAACTGCTTCTTAGTCTATGGTTCTTTGGAAGAAGCCACAGTAGCAAAATGGTCCCGCATCATCCATATGTCCATCTTGGTTTCTGTATTTATCTGTGTGCTCTTTGCTACTTGTGGATATTTGACTTTCACTGGCTTTACCCAAGGTAAAATGAGAGATTCAGTTCCATGGTATTTTGGTGCTCTTGTGGATTGGTACCAATACACCCAATGTTCTACTCAATTTTTAGTACAAATTTGTCCACTGTTATATTTGAAATAATCACTCTTCCACCCATTCTTTGCTCTACCCTCCTGTCTCTCTGCTGTTTCCTCAGATTTCCCCTCTAAACTCTTAATCTTAGTTCTGTGGTCCATAATCTCTCCTTCCATCTTCACTCCAGGCTCACGAACCCAGGTTCAGGTCCTTCCTCCCCGTACTCTACTGCATGTTCAAACTCAACTAACAAAGGCCTCCTCGTGCTCAAAGCTAATAATCTTCTGGGTTCTGTGTCTCCTGACTCTTTCTGAATCACCTAACAGCACTGAACATCCTTTCTTTGCTCAAATTTCTTCCTACTGTACTCTCATTGTTATTATTTCTGTTGATTTTTCCTTTCTTTCTTTTTTTTTTTTTTTTTAATTTGACCTCTCTTATCCCCTACCTCACCTGGGTGATTAGTTTAAGCAAGTTGCCTGCTTCTCTATTAACAAATTCTCTAGATGTTTGCATCATTTTAATTCTAATCCAGACTTTTCTTATCCAGACTTTTTTTCTTTTTCTTTCCCAGCCTGTAGGGCATTTTTATTGAATTGTTCCATTCTCCTCTTAATTACAAAACATCATCTTTTCCATAAAAGCAGTCCTTTCCCTTCCTCCTTCCAAAGTTACTTCTCTTTTCTTGTTTTCACCCAGGCCCAACAACTGAATCATCCTTTCTTAAAGGGCCCTTGACCTTTTCATTCATTCATTACACTCGGAAGAGTTTGCAGGTCTGGTGTCTCACTTGACCTTCAAACAACCCTTGGAAGGTTAAGTGGAATAACTAGTTTTACCTCCTTTTAAGACACAAAGAGTTGCAGTAGCTTGCCTATGCTGGTTTGTGACAAATTAGAGAAAAAGTCTTCTGACATCCAAGTCCCATTTTCTTTCCATTCTCTTCCTGCCTCCTCCATTTTGGTCTACCATGACCCACTAAAAGCTGTCTCTTACCTCCAGCTCCTCTGGGCTTAGTTTTCTGTGCCACTAGAATGTTCTTGGGAGAATGGCTGCTTTTTTTTTTTTTAACAGAGGTTACAGGTCACTGTGATTGTACACAGATATTTCTCAGAAAATGAAGAAAGATGGCTTAATAAATAATGAATAACATGATACCAATGCAGCCAAAATATAATACCTGTGTGTGCCAGTAAAAAGCAGTTAAAAGTGACCTTGAAGGTCTTGATAAAAACTATTTCGAAACATTGGCATGTGTCACTATTGCTACACAGTTTGTCAAGATGAATGGCCTAAGGGTTCTGGTCTGTGTGGGACCTTGGGTTTTAAATGCCTCTTCAGTAAAACATAAACCTTTTTTTTGCTAGTCATACCTTCCTGGTGTGTGTGTGTGTGTGTGTGTGTGTGTGTGTTTGTTTTCTTTTTTTAAAAAAATAAGTGGTAATTGCTCAGATTTCATTAAATCTTTCTATCACAAAGCTGACAGGTGTTTGATGTGGTGGTTGTTGTCCTTATTTTTCCCCTGGCTATAATTCCCTAAAATATATTTCATTTCAAACTGGAATAAACTGACCCTGGTCCTTCAGGTCATTTCTCCTTAGGCAAATCAGGTCTTGTTTGTACAAACGGTGTGCTGCTTTGCTCCCCTGGATGAGTAGATAAAGTCCAGCTTGTGAAGCAGTAGGAACTCTAGATTATTGCTGACATTCTCATTGACTTTTGATAAGGCGTGGGGCCCATTTATTAGTGAAGGCTAGTGAATGGGGAATTTCACCCTTTTTATTTTCAGAGAATCTGGAGCCTTTTCAATCAATTTTCAGGCAGTTCCCTGTCACTGCTGCTTTGTGGTACAAACTCATTCTGCCCAAAAAAGGACATTAGAAAGGAATGTATGTTTGTTTTACTTGATGGGGGAGTTGAGGGGGTCACTTAAATGGATCTCCAGAAGAGGCAGTTCATTTAGGGTATTTAGCTTTTTAAAGAAAAGAGTACAAAGGTATTATTTTGTTTTCTTTTTAAACAGTAGTGAGATATGTGACTTTGATGTAGTTTTGTACTCAGTGCTCTTGAAAAAAAGGCAACTGCAGTTTTCAAATTTAAGCACACTACTTGGGAAATAAATGGATCCAAATGCATGTTATTTGGGAAATAAACATGTTATTCAGGAAATAAACACGACTGAGTGTTTCTGGCTGATGACTTCTCTGCCCTAATTAGATTCCTGTATTTCTTCATCAATGTCTGCAAACATACGGGATCTAAAGAACTGGTTCAAGGTATATAGTTCATTATTTAGTCTGGAACTAAATTTAATGTTCTTTCTGGGAGGCAGCCATATTTTCAGTTTTGAAACAGTGCATTTACACTCAGGCACATCGGATGACATAAAAGACAATATGTTTAGAATTCCTTGGTGTGGTCCCAAGACTGTGATTAACCCCTACAGCATCGTGTGCAGGAAACTCAACTCCCCAGATGTACTGGACTACTCTTCCTTTCAGATTTGTCCTTGATCTAAGAATAGCACTTCAAAGGGAAATTTGTTTATTTTAATAGATTTTTTTATATATGTAATTCAGTCACTTACCACAAACAAAGGCCAGAAGCAAATTTACAAAGCCAGTGAGCAAGAATTTAGGGAGTTGATTCTAATGTAAGAAGACAATGGATAAAAGTGTTTTTTAGAATTTGATTCAAACTTGAGGCAAATCCACCAAAAACAAATAATAGGAATAATAATAATAATAAAAAAACGATTAGTGTTGCATTTCTCATCAAATGGGACACATATTAATTTTAATATCAATAAATAGCTATATGGTACTGAATGCAAACACATTTGGACCGGGTAATCTATTCCTTTAATTAACTGAAATGAAGATTATAGAGCTTGACTTATAATAATAAATATCTCATTTGTTATGCACCTCAAAAATCTAGTATCTAATAAATACATAAATTTATTTTATATTATTCTCTAGGGGACTTATTTGAAAATTATTGCAGAGGTGATGACCTGGTAACCTTTGGAAGGTTTTGCTATGGCATAACTGTCATTTTGACATACCCAATCGAATGCTTTGTAACTAGAGAGGTAAGCATGATTCTTTCTTTAATACTTTATCCAGGTTCTCTCTCTACTACACTTAAATTAGGAATATTTATAAATAATTTTATTCTAAAAATTCTCAAGGACACGACAATGATGTAATTTATAAAATTTTCTTTCTCAACTTAGAATATTAGAGTATAAGATTAATTTTTCAAAAGTTAGAAGTAAAAATTATATTTATAAGCATAAGCACAAATGTTTATATAACTGCATTCTAAAGTGAATGCCAGCCTTTAGTATAGTTAAACTGAAGCTGTTGGCTTTTTTCTTTTTTTTTTTTTTTTTCCCAATACCATGTGTAGAACCAAGGGTACACTATCTCTGAGGTACATCCTTAGCCCTTCATATTTTGAGACAGGGTGTCATGTTGGTAAATTGCTGAGGCTGGCCTCCAACTTGTGATCCTCCTATCTCAGCCTTCTGGAATAGCTGGGATTATAGGTTTGCACAATTGCACCTGGCTTACTTATTGGCTTTTTTTTTTTTTAAGAGAGAGAGAGAGAGAATTTTTTAATGTTTATTTTTTAGTTTTCGGTGGACACAACATCTTTATTTTATTTTTATGTGGTGCTGAGGATCGAACCCAGCGCCCCGCGCATGCCAGGCAAGCACATTACCGCTTGAGCCACATCCCCAACCCATACTTATTGGCTTTGTTAAAAATAGTATTCTTACAAATAAATTAAGTACCAAGGTTTAAAAAGCATTTTTCAAAATTGTAGTTTTGGGAAAACATTTTGTAAATCAATGTGCATTGAATTCTAATTGGTTTTGCTATTTTTAAAAAACTAAAATGTCTTATAGACTGTGGGGAATCAAAATGCAACATCAACCTATGATTTTACATATATACTTCATTTATATATTTATATGTATACATTTATATGTGACATACAAAAATTATATAAATAATGCAAACATACAGTATATTATTTATCTACAATTTTTTTGTTTATAAATTCATTTCCAAATTATGTTGTATAATCCACTTGGATTTGTGGAGAAAGATTAGCTGAAACAGAATGAGTCCTTTTGGTGTGAAATGGGATAGCATGGCTTGTCAGGAATCCCTTTTGCTGACAGCTAAACACCCACTGCACTGGTTAGCAGTGAAACATGATCCTGAGGCACAGTGGTTCTTTCAGGAGTCATACTGAAAAGGGCTTAGTCTTAGGATCTATTCCTGGGGGCTGTTTACACAGTGCACTATGTGAATGAGTCTAATGTATGAAGTGAAATGTCCACAGAGCCTTAAATGCACTCAGTAATCAGCAAGCCCCTCAGGACAGCCCGGAGCTTCCCTTCCCATGGGCAGTGCTGGGTGAGGACGAGCATTGGGACTTGAAAGAGGGAAGAGGGCAGCACTGTGTGTGTCCTCTGCTACTAGCATTTCTGCTCACTTGCTAATGTGGCATTCACAGGCTATTTTCTACCTTGACTAGAGGGAGAAGTCAAATAAACTGATACTTTATGCAGGTTTTTAAAATGTAAGATCCTTTTAGAAATTTTCTAACTATTATTAGATGCAGGAAATGGTATTCTTGCAGCATCTGCCCAGGACTTGAGGTTCAGATTTGATCTCTAGATCAGAAAGAACAGATGGTGCATTCCCATGCGGTTTCTGGTAAACTGTGTGTGGACCATCTGAGTCACTTCACCTGGGCAGCCTCTGTCTTCAGTACTTGGACCTGAATTTCCTTTCCAGCTGCCATGACAGGAAGACAGAACTAAATCAAGATCTTTGCCATCGTAGTAAAGATTAGGCAGAGGAATGTCATATATACCTCACCCGTTCACTTCTTTCTATACACATAAACACACACACAGAGCTAATATAATGAAACCATCTCAAATCATGGGTAAGATATCCAGCCACATATAAAGGGAACAAAAAGGCTGTGTGTCCCTAATAAATATCCCTCACTAGTCTGCCCAGATTTTTTTCATTCTCACAGTCCTATACTAGAAGTTTTGATGATAATAGATTTTAAATAAGATAATATTTGGAAAACTGTTCAAATTATAATCAGTTAGAGTTATTAGTTCAACTCTTTAGCAGAGCCACGGCAGCATCTGGCCTCTGGGGAATGTTACCTACCAAGGTAACACAGCTTGGAGAGCTGCTTCTTTACCATATTAAGCATCTGACCCTCTCCTACCATGCCATCTCTGCCCCTGATCTTCTGCACAGTCACTCCTCTATTCAGTCTCCTGTCTCCCTCCACAGGTTTGTTCCTACTCTCACCTCTTTGCTCTTTTGCATGCTATTGACTCAGTTGGCAATTCAGCTTCAAATTTTATCCATGTTTCAATCCCTATCTCAAGCCAAGGTGAGTCCAGAACTTTTCAGGAATGCTGTAAAGAAGATTACTTGAAGGGAGACAGATCCGAATGATTGAAGCTCTTTCTAGTTCTAAAAGCTATTTGATATTTTTTGTACCATCACAAATTGATAAATTTGTTTGTTTGTTTATTTATTTATTTTGGTACTGGGGATTGAACTCAGGGACACTCGACCACTGAGCCACATCCCCAGCCCTAATTTATAGTTTATTTAGAGACAGTGTCTTACTGAGTTGCTTAGCACCTCGCTTTTGCTAAGGCTGTCTTTGAATTCACAATCCTCCTGCCTCAGCCTCCTGTATACATTCATTTCTTTAGATGGGTTGTCAATTTCTAGTTAGGATATTAATTCCAAAGAAAGGAAGAATCTCCCAGACATCTTCTCTTTGTAAATTATACCACAGTGTGGGATATATTACATAGGAGACTGTCAATTGGTTTCCTGATCTGAGTATTACTAAGAAATAGTGATAAACTCTTCTCTATTTTTGTTGAGGAAAAGCAATATATCATGGACTTAAATTGTAACAATTAGGATTTCATTTATGTAGAATCAATTTCCTCTTAGTAAAGGATATTACACATCCAGCATCATTAAAAGGAAATGTGGTAATGCTTTCCTCAGAGGCCATTCAAGTAATCTAAATAGCATCTGCAGTTTGTTTTAGTAGTAACCTTGTTAGGCTCAAGAAGAAGGATAAGGTAACTTCCTAAGGGTTTGCTTATTCTTGAGAGATGCATGTATTTAAACCCTGGTGTGTCATGCTCTGCGTCTGTAATATAATCAACTGACTGACTAATAGCACCACCAAAAAATACTTGTTCTTGCATTATGTGTCTATGTGTAAGTAATTTGGAAATATAAAACATTCATAGAGACAAAATTTGATTGTCTTATGACAATATTGTATATACTCCTACATGCTATTACAAAATACTCTTTCAATAAATCTTGCATGTCTGAAAACTACCTCTCAAAATAATCTGTTTATTTGGCAGGTCATTGCCAACGTGTTTTTTGGAGGGACTCTTTCATCATTTTTCCATGTGCTTATAACAGTGGTTATAATTATGATAGCCACATTGGTTTCATTGCTGATTGATTGCCTTGGAATAGTTTTAGAACTCAATGTAAGTACATTTAAAGATCTACTTCTTCCATCCTAAAACTCGCTTTTTTAAAAAATATTTATTTTTTTAGGTGTAGATGGACACAACATAAGGCCTTTTTTTTTTTTTTAATGTGGCGCTGAGGATAGAACCCAGGTCCCGCCCATGCTAGGCAAGTGCTCTACCACTGAGCCACAATCCCAGCCCCCTAAAACTCTTAAAATAATGGTTCCGCTGGGCGAGGAGGCACTTACCTCTGATCCAGCTACTATGAAGACTGAGCCAGGAGGGACACAACTTGATGGCCAGCCTGGATGACTGAGAGGAGACCCTGTATCAAAATAAAAAAGGAAAAAAGGTTGGGGATGTAGCTCAGTGGTAAAGTACTCAGTTCTGGGGGTGGGTGAAAATGTTTCTATTTAATGTAAGATGTATTTTCCTAAGAGAATTGTCACTTTCTGAATTAGAATGAAAACATGTTTGTAATATAATAGTAAATATTTATAACAATGATACTCTGCACTTAATAGGACTACATAGTTTTGAAACAATGGGTCTCAAATAGGGGTTAACTTTGCTCTCCCTGCCAATATCTAGAGGTGTACTATTAACTAGGTGGGCAGTGCCGTTAGCATCTAGTGAGAAGGTGAGGGGTACTACCAAGATCCCACAGTGCACAGCACAGCCCCTCACAACAAAGTATCAACTAATTGAAAACATCAAGAGTGCAAGGTCATGGTTGTATGATATATAGACATTTCTAAAAGAAAAAAATATCAATTAAATGGACCTGGAATATTTTTTCTGAGTAAAAATATATACCTAGTGAAATTCATTGAAAATATGAAAGGAAGAGAGTTATATCCATATTGTATAATCACTTACCCAGGCCAAATTTCTTTTTCTTTTAATATTTTTCTCTCTCCAGATCTTTCTTTTGTAGCATTTACTGCCACCATTCAAATTGAGATCTTCATCACAACTACATCTAAATTGATCCTTTTTTTTTTTTTGCTTCCACTAGAACATATTTAAGTTCTACTTTCAGTTTATTAGCATCCTGCCCCAAATATCTCCACTTTCCTCCCAGAGCAAATATAAACAGAGTTTATATTTGCTTTTATGAAAAGCTATTTCCCCTTTACTTAGTAAAATCTACCCTCAGTACCAGCCAACCTTCTTTTTATGGCTTATATATATATTCCAAATCAGTTCTTTCTTTTGTCCTTTGTCTTACCTGTTTCCTTTTCCTACAATGACCAGTTTCCTTTCATTTCTCTCAATATATCACAAAGGCTTCACAATCGAGTGCAAATAACAACACATGTACTCATAGATCACATATTTATTGTTTACTTCTTACGTGCCACAAAACAGGAGTGATGGAAGGAAATCAGAAGGGATCCTTGCTTTCTCACAAACATACAAGTTCAACTGCTATGTAGGTGATGAAGATGATAGGGAAGTAGATAGGATATCTAAAGACATTTTTGAGGAAAATATGTCATAATTTGGTGACAGGTTTAATTAGAAGGCAGAGGGATAGAAGGGCACATTATGCATGACTCCTTGGTTCTAATTTCTAAGCAGAAACAGCACAGATTTCTAAACGAAATCACACCATTTAGGATTTATTAGGTTATGCACCATGGGAGGGCAGACTTTTATAGGTAGGATCCCAAGTTATCATTCACACATTACGTTAAGAGTTAGGGCTTGGAGAAAGTATTATTGTTAGTGCCCAAGACACTTTTCCCTCCAGATGCCGTTATGATTTTGAAGTTCCCAGAAAAGGCCATAGGAGATTCTGTCAAGAACACACTTCTGGGAATTTTCTGGGAACAGAGTAAATGGAAAGTGGAGAATATGCAGCTTTTCAAAACCTCAGGGCACTAGGAAATTGCCCTTTCACTGGTGGTGAAAAACAAAGCCCAGCAGCACACAATGAGGTGTGCCTAAAGTCCCAGTTATTTGGTAAACTGAGCGAGGAATACTGCCTAAGCCCAGGAATTCAAGGATAGCCTGGGCAACATGGTGAGACCCCATCTTGAGAACAAACCAACCAACCAACCAACCAGGAGGTGGACAAATGCCAAAGGCAACTTTAATCTGCTTCCTAATTTTGCATAGGACAGGGCTAGTAGGTCCACTCAAGATTATTTCATGTAGCAACCTTGATGCAGTAACTTTAATGAAGTAACTTCATTTGTATATTATCTCATATCATGTGCTATTTGAACCATCTGTAAATTTGTCTTCCCTACCAAATTGTAAGCTCTTTGAAGACAATGTGTAGCCACCTTCTTCATTTTCCATGATACTTGGAATAAGGATAAAAACAGTGTGTTCAAATTCCTGCATGGGTGATTGCCCCTTGAGACCAAAGATCAGGACTTATTTCCATGTTCCCACATATGACATTGTTTAGTGTAGTACCAGGAAATAAAGTATGACAAAAAGTGTTGGTGTTAATAGTAGTAGTGATCTTTCAACTATGCTGTAGATACGACCAACATGATCCCCCACCCTGTTTTCTCTTGTTTTATGAAACGTCTCATTTGAATTCACAAGTTTTGTTTTTTAATGTTGTAGAATTTTGTTATGAGGAAAAATATATCTATCAGCTGCCTAAACAGTCAACCACATCTTGGTAAACTAAGAAATGTTTTGTTTGTCTCTAGTTAGCCAAGCACATACATATGGCTCATTTTTGGGAAATGATATATTTTTGTAAATTTAACCATTGCTTTACATAGACTTAATTGCTAATTTTCATGACACATGTGCAACAAAATCCTTAGCACATTAACACTAAATATTCACTATTGTACTTATATTAAAAACATTTGTGATTAAGATAGGTCTTGGTTATTATAGTCAGAGAATACCTTGTAAATATTAAAAAGTCAAAATCTGAGCTTCTGTGGAAGACTACTTTAAAAAAAATTAAAACATAATTCTAGATTCTTAGATTTTTTTAACCTATATAGAGAGATACACACAAAACAATTATAGGAAAGTGTTATATTGTTGGCTATAACCTAATAACCCAAGACAATGACACCTGTTTTAAAAGCATTTTGCAGAAATTAGTAAAATCTAGAATCTCCATTCTCTATAGACCATCTGAAAATATGTGTTTTGTCCATCATTAAAATTTTTTGGTATGCACAATAACATCTTCTGCTCTTTCCCCACCTCCCTTTTGTGTGGACACTGACGATGAGTAATCCAGCCAAATTTAGCATCATTTCTGTCAGTAACTAATACATGCTGTAACATGTGACATGTGAGGAGTTAACTAAAGCATACTGTGTTCTACTGCATAGGGATAATATGAGCTAACATGTGCATATGCTGGGCTAAGTACTTTGCATGCATTATCTTCCTTGATCATGTTAACTTTACAGATGCAAAAATTGAGGCCCAGTGATTAATAATCAATCTGAGGCCATACAAGCTAAGTAGAAGAATCAAGATTTGAACACAGGTATTTGGATCCTCTCTAGCCCATACATTTAATCATTGCATTCATCTGAGATTTTCTACATGTCAGGCATTAAATTATGTCAAATAATTCTGCTTTTTTACCCATTTTATAATTAAAAATCTATGCATTGAGTTCATTTGCAAATAAGGTTCAGAGTGATTCATAATACATATGAATTGACTTTGATATGGTTTAAAATATCAGGAAATGGATTAAAATAAAACTAAAACTTTTTAATCTTAAATTATAGTTAATAGCTTTCGTTTTAATTTATAATTTGGGGTGGGGGCTGTTGGAGACTGAACCCAGGTCCTTGTCATCTTCATTAATAATTGTAGTACTTTAGGAATTCTTTTCTATTATGGCTTCTCAATTATCACTAAGTAGAACAATGACCTTCATAGATGTGATACATATTAGAATAAGAAAACTTGTGAAATTAGGGAAATGATATTTAGTAAAATTGAACATCAAAGGATAAATTATTTGGGGTTATATTACTTATTCAATAAAATTAAAACCTCATTTAGAGTTTTATGTTTAATTCATCATTTTCATGGCAGTAGACAATGAAATATTTTTCCAAAGCAAATGTACCCTCACTTTTAAAGGATTAATTTTAAAAGCAAATAAAATGAATGTAAATCTCATTCTTGGTAATAAGAATCCAGCATCTTGGCACTGACATTGCTATTATAGAAAAGAGGCATGTACAGTAATTGGGCCCTATGGGTTTCTACTTGCAGCAGCACAAAGAGAGGAAAAAAAAAAATGAAACAGCTGGTGTCTGTGGCCAGAGTAACCAGTTCAACAGGCATTGTGTGAAGCTTGCATGGAAGTAATAAAGCAAACCAAATACCCAGTGAGAACCAGATACAGAAATACAATCATCAGAGTGAGCAAGACATAGTCCAAGTTGACAGATCCTGAGCTAAAGACAGTTTTTGTTTTTTAAGGTATAGAAATAAATTTCATGTGTCTGATCTGAACTGGTTAAAAATAGAAATTTAAAAGATTAATAAGTATTATTTTATTTTTTTTTTACCTTCCCTGCACAATTTGAGAGGTTTTTGTTCAGAAAAGAGAATTCAGACACTTTTCCCATCTATATAGTTGGTAAAATTCTTCAACACTTTCTGTTCTTTCCCTGTTGCAAATGGTAAAATGTCCTGGCATCAGTTGTACTATTACCAGTGGATAGCACTGTTCTGTCTTTATAAATAAAACCATGTTTTACTCTCTCTTTAATAAGTAGTTCTGATTTTACAAACTGTCAAGCAATTTTAAAAATCATTCCAAAGCCAGTAATGTATCCTCAAACAGGTCTACACTAAAGGAAGGAAATAAGTTGGACTAATTTATGGGAAATAGAGCAGATAGAAATGCACTATAATTTTACTGATGATCTTGAATCCAGCAACAACCTCTAGCAAAACTGAACTTTCAAGTTACCAGAAAGTAACTGGTATTCAAGACGTGATAATCAACTGGGCTCCTTCCAGTACAAACATCATCAATGTAATTTTCTCTGTAATTATTACTTTCTCACCTCTTATGAATTACAACATAAACAGAACACCCCTTTCTTTGCCCTGCCCAGGGAGTTAGGTTTGAAAGATTTCAAGGGCTGACAGCAGCCTTTCCATAGCAGCTGACAGCAGTTGTCATCCTGATGGTACCTTCAGACTCTGCAGCTCCAGATCTGTCCCTACAATGAGAAGAGACTACATATACAAACCAGTATATACACGGATTTGAATTACTTTGTTTCAGAAATTCTTCCTTCAAAGAAATCATAGAGTATAAGCACAGATTGAGTTCTATAATATTTTCTATAACTTAGAAAAGCACTGTGAGGCTGGGGAGGCAGCTTGGTGGTAGAGTTCTTGCCTAGCATTTCTTTAATTCTAGCCATATGACAGCTAATCTTTTGTTTATTGTGTACCTTTATGGGTGTTCTTTTGTATTCAGGCACTATAAATTGCAAAAGTACTTTGTCTACATATTTTAAACTGTAATGTAATATTGTTTTCTCTTACTCATTCCTCATTCTTGTGTTTCTCTTACTGGTGAAATATTTTCCATGCAGTGTGGTCACTACTATTCTTCCACAGACCTTTAGATACTCCCTAACTAGTCTGATTTGATAATGTGAAACATGTAATTGACAATTTAGATTTCTTTTTTTGGTTTTGTAAAAAACAAAAAGAGGTGTACTATTGAAATCATAGTAATAATATTTCACCTATAATAATATAAGTGGTGCTTAATGTGGAACACACAGTAATTTGATTAAGTGGTGACACTGAGAAAATAGGTAAAGTTTTTTTTTAAAAAATATAATTTGTTATTCTTCATCATCCAACTTCAAATTCAGTTTGCTTTGGTTGAATCTGGGAAAAATCTGTGAATATAGTTTTCCAAAGAGCTCATAAAACATAGGTTATAGATACATAGAGTTTCATTATATTATGCTTATATATACTTACAAATTTACACAATGACCTTTTAAAATATAGAAAAACATTTTAAAGAAATCTTGTATTTAATTATGAATCAATATTGCATTTTTAGTTATTGATTATGTATTTTGAACACTTTTTTATCTTTAAGACAATAACATGTTATATTTCACATTAACAAAATGAAAGCTAATAACCACATGATCATCTCTATTGACAGAGTAAAAGCATTTGACAAAGTCTTCAGCAGCCTTTTGTGACAAAAACTTTTAACAGTTTAAATATAGAAGGAAAGTTTCTCCATGTAATAAAGAACAGTTATGAAAAACTCCTAGTTAAGATCATAATCAATGGGAAATAACTAAAAGTGTTTCCACTAAGATCCAGTACAAGTGAGAGATGCCCACTTTCAGCACTTCTATTCAACGTACTAATGGAAATACTAGAAAGAGCAATCAGAAAAGAAAAAGACATAGAAGACATCTGAATCAGGATGGAGGAAGTAAAACTATAGTTGCAGATGACACAATTGTGCAATTGCGCCAGGTTTCCAAAAAATTCTAGAAATAATAGATGAATTTGGTAAAGCTGAGGAATCCAAGTCAACATACAAAAATCAGGAACATTTCTTTACACAAATAACAATTTAGAGTAAATTTAACCAAGGAGATAAAATACTGTTGAAAGGAATTTAAGGAGGTTCAAATAAATAGAAGGATATTCTGTGATGATGAATTGGAAAAATTACTATTGTGAAAATGTGTATATTCCAAAGCAATGTATAGATTCAATACAACCTCTATCAAAATTCAAATGGAGTAATGCATAGAAATAGGAAAAAAAATCTAAAACTTATATGGAGCCAAATAAACTAAAGCAATACAAAGAAGGAAAACAAAGAGGAATGACATTTCCTGATTTTAAAAGATATTGCAAAGCTATAGTATGGCACTGGGATAAAAATAGAAACATTAATTGAGCAGAACAGAATCCAAGCATATAGTTAAATCAGTATTTGACAAGGTCATCATGATGGGAAAAGGATAATTCCTGAATAAATAGTGCTGGGAAAATAGATTTCCACATTCAAAAGAATGAAATTGGACCCTTATCAAATACAAAAGTCAACTGGAAAGGTTTAAAAAACAACTGTAAGAGCTGAAGCCATAAAATTCCTAAAAGAACATGGGATAAAACTCTTTGACATTGGTATTGTCATTTCCTTTTAGATATCATAGCAAAAACTCAGGATCAATGACAAAAAAAAAAAAAACCAAACATATAAATAGAACTACAGAAAACTAAAAACCTCTACACAGCAATAGAAACAGTCAACAAAATGAAAAAACAACCTAGGCACTAGGGGAAAAAAGTATTATAATAAGGGGTTGATATACAAAAATTTTAAAGAATTCTTACAACTCTGTAGCAGAAAATCTAAAAATAACAGAAATATTAAATAATGGACAGATGACCTAAATATATCTTTCTCCAAAGATATAAAAATGACCAATAATAAAAGGTATTCAATGTCACTAATCTTCAGGCAAATACAAATTAAAATCATTGTGCAATATCACCCCAGAGCTACTAGAATGAATATTATAAAATAAAATAAAATAAAGTTTATTAGTACTTCTTTTTTGCTGAGGCTGGCTTTGAACTCTAGATCCTCCCGCCTCAGCCTCCTGAGCTGCTGGGATTACAGGTGTGCACCACTGCACCTGGCTAATAACTTTGTACTTCTATAACTCTACTACCCATTATTTTCAATCTGGCATTCTACCAATAAATATTGGCAAGGCTGTGAAGAAAAGGGAGTCCTGGTATGTTGTTGGTTAGAATGTAGATTGATACAGTTACTATCAAAAACATTATGGAGGTTCCTAAAGAAATTAAAAACAGAACTAGCATTTGAGCCAGCAATTTCTATTCTGGGTTTATAGCCAAAGGAAGTAAAATCACCATCTCATAAAGATATCTGTACTTCTATACTCCCATGTCAATTGTAGCATTATTCACAACAGCCATGATATGAAACAACCTAAATGCCCATCAGGGGATAAATGGATAAGGAAAATGTGGAATATATACACAATGGAATGTCATTAGGCCTTTTAAAAGAAGGAAATCCTGCCATTTGCCATGACATTAATGGATATTAGGCTAAGTGAGTAAGCCAGACACAGAAAGAAAAATATTACATGATCTCATTTATATATGAAAATTTTTTAAAAGGTCAAATATACATATACAGAGAATAAAACTGTGATTACCCAGGACCAGAGAGCAGGGAGGAAATGAGATAAAGCTTAAAGGACACAAAGTAGCAGACAGGATGAACAAGTCTAGAGATCTAATGTAGAACATAAGAACTACAGTTAATAAAATTGTATGGTATATGGGATGCTTGTTAAGTATATTTTAGCTGTTCTTTTCACATATGCAAAAAAGTGATTATGTAAAATAAAAGTCATGAACTTTGCATTACTATGATAATCATTTCACTATCCATATGTATCCATAACACTTTGTTATGGATAAATCTAAAAGATACACACAAAAAACCCCCACATATTTTAAAGGAAAACTTTTATTTTGTGGGTTGAGAATAAAATTCACCATATTTTAATATATTTTATTAATTTTATGTTCTATTTAATATATGATGTCATTAAAACAGAATAATTAGGAAAAAATATATTACCAAAAATGAATTGAATTTCAACATTTACATCATTTGCAAAGTGTCTAGTGAGGTTTAGGACTATTCAGGGAGAAGTCTCCTTTCCTCTGAAGTCAAAGACTTGGTATTTTGGGGATGGGGTTACCAGGGATGGAACTCAGGGGCACTGGACCATTGAGCCACATCCCCAGCAGTATTTTGTATTTTATTTAAAGACAGGGTCTCACTGAGTTGCTTAGTGTACCTGTTTTGCTGAGACTAGCTTTGAACTCTCAATCCTCCTGCCTCAGCCTCCCAAGCTATTGTTATTACAGGCATGCACCACCATACCCTGCTATAAGTTGGTATTTCTATAACTCTGTTACCCATTATTTTCAATCTGACATTATGCCTTAGGTTAAATTTATCTATAGCTAATGTAGGGGCAAGTTATAGTCATTTAATTCTGCTGTCAATTTTCTAGGGTAATTAATGCATTTCATTTTGCTTGAAAGAGGATTTAGAAATGTTCTTCCATGTTAAATGCCCTGTGGTTATAGTTTTCCTTTCTCAACACAGACAGGCACTACTTTCATACAAGCACAGATTTAGAGGAAGACAATATGCCCATACAATTTTTCAAAGTCCCCATTTGTACACAAATGACAAACAGACCACTCAGGTTTGAAAGACATAGTGGATACCATGAAAGAATAATATAAGGATACAGGACGTGACTGAAATAAAGGGAGACTGCAGATTTGCTAGAAGTTGGTCTATTTATGTTTCATTTTCTATATTATTTTCTGATCATCTGGTCTTAAGTCTGATGTACTATTATATATTATCATTTTCATTTGTAAATATTCCTTTGGAAAAGGAAAAACCTATTTCTGTGTCTTTCTTGGAATTATTTTTCTTTCCTTTGCTTGATTCAACAGGTGCAATGAAAAATACATTTTGAAAATGTTTTTAAAAATTGTCCAAAGAATGTTTCCATCTAGTAACATTATCTTGTTTCTTGTTTTCAACTCACAGGGTGTGCTCTGTGCAGCTCCTCTGATTTTTATCATCCCCTCAGCATGTTATCTGAAACTGTCAGAAGAACCAAGGACACACTCAGATAAGATTGTGTCCTGTGTCATGCTTCCCATTGGTGCTGTGGTCATGATTTTTGGATTCATCATGGCTATCACAAATCCTCAGGACTGTACCCATGGGCAGGAGATGTTCTACTGCTTTCCTGACAATGTCTCCTTCACAAACATCTCAGATTCTCACTTTCAACTGACAACACAACTTTCCATTTTAAACATCAGCTTCTTTCAATGAGTTGACAGTTTTAAAAATATGCATGTTTTCATAGACTTCTAAACCACTTAATAATATTCACATTTGTCTCTATTTATATGATAAAATTATCATTTTGGCATTTATCAAGACTTGTGTTTCTTTACTCTTCAGTGCAATGTAAGAGATAAAGAAAACTGAATATATTTTACTGTAAACTAGAACAAATGCTTCATTCTACTGACCTCAGTACACTGATGCTAATTGGGGAAAGAAAAGTGAAGCCTTTAGTGTTTGCTGCAATCTCATCAAAGCATTACTCTTTTTACTTAACATGTGAGCCAAGATATTGTGCTCCAAAATATGTAGGTGATTAAGAGTGGGATTTTTGTGTATGTGTCCTTCAGGACAGGGAAAAAAAAATGTCTTTAAAGTATATAGAATCGAAGCTAGTGGGAAGCTAAACAATTAAAAAGAATGACTATCTGAAGAACAAACAGAAGCTATTATAACTTTAGTAGCATCCCTTGTTTAGGGGAAAAGTGGATCCCTGGAGTAAAATGCTCCCACTGTTAAGAAGCTTGAATAATAGATCTGATGTGCTGACCCAGGTGTCTGAGGAAGCAAAATCACCTCCCAATTTTTGATGTTGTGGGAATATGATGGTCACATTATTATAAAAACAGAACACACACATGCATTGTTCTGAAGCGTAAGCCTTAAAGACTATTTGTGCATCAAATTTGGAACTCTTGAATTTGCAGTGCTGGCAGGAAGATACAATGAGAAGCTGAACTGCATGACTAGAAGCTGCAGTAAGAATTAGAGCTACACAAGAGGCAACATCTCTCTCCTCAGAGACATGTTCGAAGCTCTTATTGAGTGGGTCCTTTGGAAGTAGCTGCTGAAATGGGGTTTGTCCTGCAGGGTATTGACCAGGAATCATAACTAGTGAGAGGGAGAGAGAAACAGGATTGGAAAGGAAAAATAGAACTGCAGTGCAAGCTGGCGAAGCCTCCTTGGAGTTCACGGAGAATCTGGAGCACATAGGACCCATCAGAACTCTCCCAGTTCAGAGTAAATAGCCAAAGTTTTAGTACTGCTGCCTCCATCAGTGGGAATGCAAATGGACACCTGGGGAAGGAAGAGCCCTTGGGCTAGGCAGCTCTCTGCAGCTGAGCACTGGACAGGAAGTGAGAGCAGGAGATTAGCTTCTGCTGATAGCTGGGGCACCACAAGCTTCCTTCTTAGGGGAGGTCTGGAAGGGACAGCTGTGTCCACCACAGATGCCCTGAATTTTTACTGAAGACTTGTATACATTTTAATGAGAATTTCACGTTTTCATATTGATGATGATCTTTAAAAAACCAGTGCAACATTGCTTTCATTTTCATTATAGTCTGTACTATAATTTATCACAATTATACTGATAGTCCCTGCAATTAATATCAAAGTCAGGAAAACTCACCGATGAGCTATTGCAGTGAACAAGCAGTAGTCCTTGACTTCTGTGGGAAAAAACGTAATCTTTCTCTTTTTTTTTTTAAATTTATTTATGACAGCGGAATGCATTACAATTCTTATTACACATATAGAGCACAATTTTTCATATCTCTGGTTGTGTGTGTTCGTGTTTTCATACCTGTACTTTGAATAATATTGATCATCACATTCCACCATCATTAATGACCCCATGCCCCTCCCTTCCCCTTCAACCCCTCTGCCCTATCTAGAGTTCTCATAAAAAAAAAAAAGCAACAAGAAAAATTGGACCATCTGAATGACTTCCTTATATCAAGTAGCAACCAAATTATATTCCCTACCTTTCATCTGTATTTCAGTCAGATTGACCATACATAGTTGTACATTGATTATTGCCAAATAAGGAAAAAAATACAAGAAGAATTAATATATACACAATTTGTTTTTACAATTCCACAGGTGAAATAAGGAAAAAAAAAATCCAAAATCCATACCATGTATATAAAAAATAGCTTCACAGTAGTTTAAATACAGTAGCAAGAGTTGAGTTGTCATCACATGACTCCTGCTAAGAAAGCCCTAAAGAGTACCAGGAGCCTGAGCCTTGGCTGGTTAGGGCTTCAGTTGTGGCTTTTGCTTCAATAAAACAGTCACTAATTTAATTAAAATCCTGTTGACTGTATAGCTTTTCTGTATTTAACTTGTAAATTTGTTTCTTACAGTTCTTTAAGTTATGAGACAAAGCTACTTCTGCCTATTTTTAGGTTAGGTAAAATTATTATAAAAATACTTTCCTTCCATAATAAGGGAACGTGAGACATTTTTGCAACAGTTTATTCCTACATTCTTGAGACTGAGAAATACTGTTCCATGTAGTTACTACTTAAAGTCATGAGAGATGAGATATTCAAGAGTGTACAGAGAGGCATATCAAGAATAACGTCATTAAGCACTTAACCATCTATTATCTTGTACTTTGGGACATGTTATTCTTGATTCTCCAAGTATTTGAAAAGCTCCTGGTAGGAACTAAATGCAGCATCTAATTTGTTTGTTATTAATCACCTGTAGAACAAGACTGTCTTTGACCTAGTTATCAGGAACATGGGTTATCAAGATCTTTAAACTGATGAGTGAATAAATCTTAGGAACTCACATCTATTTCACAAGAATATTTGGTTATTTGTTTTTCCCTGAACAGAACAGCATAGTGGCAAAACAAAGCAGAACCTCTACCCTTATCTACTTTCTGCCTCAATTTAATCAGAGATTTCCACTGAAACTTATTCATTCTTAACTATTGCTTGCCCCTAACAAAGTAACCTGAAGGAAGTAAACCTCTTTGAAGCTGTTACTACTTTAAAATTTACCAAGCATTTCTTAGTTTTAAAAAGGTGGTGGCAGCCAGGCACTATGATGTACACCTGTAATCCCAGCTAAGGTGAGACTCCCAATCAAGAGGCAGAGGCAAGAGGATAGAGAGTTCAAAGACAGCAACTTAGCAAATTAGCGAAGCCATAAGCAACTCAGCAGGAGTCTGTCTTTAAATCAAATATAAAAAGAGCTAGGAATATAGCTCAGTGGTTAAATGCCCCTGGGTTCAATCCCCAGTACTGAAAAAAAGGAAAAAAAAGGTGGTGGCAGAAAGCAATAGTATGTGTTAATGCAAGCATTTTGCCATATGCTTCCATTAAAGATATTAGTTGGATGTCATTTGTGTTTAGGAATTGGGTCCCTATCCATTTCACTTAGAATTCTAATTTCAACCTCACCTGAATCATCTTCAAAAATCAGTACAGGTTAACTGTCTTGCCTCTGAACTCTTTCCAGTGGTGTCAAGAAATACCTGTTCCCTCTTGTCCTTCCCAGAAGAAGTCCAGATCCAGATTATCCAACTAAGAAAGTCCCAAGAAGTCCTCCACTGGAGTCATGCTGTATACTTTTTCTTAATTAATGACTTCTGTCTCATTTTCTGCTGCCCCCGCCCCCCATCCCTGCTCAAGAAAGCAGTGCTAGTCTGTTTCTTAAGGAGGGGAGGCCTGCAAGAGGCATGGTTCCCATAAATGCTCCATGGACTGTGCCCAGAAAATTAACTTTCCCAATCGGATAAGCTCTTTTAGAAATTTACACTTACTCTTAAAAGTGCATAAAGTATTTACCAGTGAACTGGAGACACCATGAGCTAGAGAACACATAGACCAGGAGAGAAAGCAATGATTCTCCAGAGCAATGGTTTTTCAACTTCAACACGTCAGAATCACCTCGAGGACTTGAGAAAACATACATTTCTGGGCCTCCCCACAGAGTTTCTGGTTCAGTACTCTAGAGTGGGGCCTGAGAACTGCATTTCTGAAAATGTTGTTGGTTCAACAGACCACATTTTAATAAGTTTGGAAGTTGGACATAAGAAGGTGCTAGGTAGGGACATCTGTTTAGAGTCTGGGGCAAAACTCGAGCAAGATGTAGGAAGGAAGGGGGAGGAAAATTGAGAACAAAGGAGAACACAGAAATTAAAGCCTAAAGTCAACACAGCTGTGGTGGTTAAACTGAAAGCCTGGTTATAGCCTGCCAGCATTCAGGGACTGAGCTTTATAGCCATTACTGAGAGAAGGGAGACCATATACCAGTTCCTCAAGAGTACACCAAGTTTTCTGAGGATAAACTCAACAGGATGTCTCACTTGGAATATTACTCAGGGAACATGAGTAAAACTGGGTTATGAATAATGTTCCATTTTTTTTCCCAGTACTGGGGATTAAACCCAGGGGCACTTTACCAGTGAGTACATTTTCAGCCCTATTTATTTTTTTATTTTGAGACAGGGTCTTGCTAAATTGAGGAGGCTCAGATTGCAGGCATGTACCACCTCGCCCAGCTTGAACAATGTTCTTGATAACATCAGGCAGGTGAAGAACTGATATACTCTTACAAGACACTTGATCCACTGATGTTTGCTACTAAACAAGGAAAATTATCAGCACATTTAGCTTTGGCATTTTCATTATATTATTCATTTGTAGCAATGTGTAAGTGGATGTCTATTAAAACAAAAACAAACACACACTAGACAGTCTGATCCTCTTTTTTAACACCCATTTGATTCCTGTCCTCACCAGCTAGCACCCAGGATAATGGTGACTTCTAAAATGAGCATTATGCTTTCAGGCTCTTCGTCTTCCAAAATGATTTTTGTATTACTTCAAGAATTACCTTCTTAAAGCATGCTTTGCATAAGATCACTTGCTTACTCAAAAGCTTTCCATGAAACTTGTGGGATGAGGAACAAACTCGGTAGCCTATCTTCAAAGCTTTCATAATGTGACCTCAACATGCTGGTCTGGCCTTATCAGCCATCACTGCAAGAAGGAACAGTTACTGGAGCATAACTAAAGCATGTCTTTACACTGAAAATGTTTTGTATGCCCTTTGCTTTGCCCTTGAATTCTTGTCTTTCTCTCATCTTTAATGCCCAAAACCCTCACAGAAATTCTGTCAACCCTTCTGTCTTCTCCATGCAACATCCTTGACAACCTAATTGCAATTTACAAAATTCCCTCCTTTGAAATTTTGTAATTCTTGAGGTTTTTACATGTAGGAA